TATGCCCATGGAAATGGAACACACAGGACATTACCTACATCTTGCCTTTCTGATGACAGCAGTTTTTTCTTTGTCTCCTGGAACAAAAGCAAACTATACCCATTTGTGGGCTAACAATATTACTTCCTGGGATTCAGTTATTCAAAACAAGACAGGCAGAAACCAAAATGAAAACATTAACACGAACCCTGTAACTCCTGACGTAGATTATAAAGGTAATTCTACAAACATGCCTGAAACATCTTACATTGTATCTTTTACTTCTAAATCTGAACAGGAGCTTTATATACCTTCTGTGGTCAGCAACAGTCCTTCAACAGTACAGAGCATTGAAAACACAAGTAAAAGTCATGGTGAAATTTTCAAAAAGGATGTCTGTGTGGAAAACAACAACAACATGGCTATGCTAATTTGCTTAATTATAATTGCTGTGCTTTTTCTTATCTGTACCCTTCTATTTCTATCAACTGTGGTTCTGGCAAACAAAGTCTCATCTCTCAGACGATCAAAACAAGTAGGCAAGCGTCAGCCTAGAAGCAATGGCGATTTTCTGGCAAGCGGTCTATGGCCTGCTGAATCAGACACTTGGAAAAGAGCAAAACAGCTCACAGGATCCAACCTAGTGATGCAATCTACTGGAGTGCTTACAGATACAAGGGAAAGAAAAGATGAAGAAGGAACTGAAAAACTTACCGGCAAATAGATGAGTTAGTGAAGAAAACTGCAAAGTGGCAATGAGCAGGATTATGGAATAAAAATGAAGTCAGTTGGTATTTAATGCCCAAGTGTTGTTCTGATGATCTAAAATTTGACATGGTAGACCTTGCAATTTAGAATCAAGCAGGTGAGAGAGGAAGAAGAATGCCTGCTTAATTACTTAAACCTTTTGTTTTGACACTGAATATTTTTAAAGAGCAAATAATAAAATAACTAAGCATTTAAGGAAAGTTTTAAGGATAAATTTAGAAAACTGATTAATAGAAAGAGCAAGGATAATTAAATAAATATTCCCTACGTAGCGATCGTGGTAAGATGATCATTGTCTGAATGTAATTCAACTTTGAAGAGTTTTAGTGTGTCCTTAAAGCCAAATACATGCTTTAACATCAAATGGAAGTCATATTCCTAATGCATAGCGCTAAACCGTATAATTTAATGGTATCTTCTTTGCTGGATGTGGCAGAATCCATACCAGCTTATCAATCAATACAGCTAATTTTAGCATAGATGCTTTTATCTTTCCCTATGGCACACATAAGAAAGTGTTTTTCTACTATTAATACTAAATTAAACCTTTAATTTTGTATAATAAATTAAAACTCATTAGAATAAACCTGTGACTATGTATATTTGCATTCACTTTATTACTTTAAAGAATACATTGTAAAGATCAATAAGAAATAGAGCAAAACTAAAAGAAATAAGATTTACAGCCACATCAATAGGCTAAATATAAATGCAAAGCATATGTTACTGTTTAATAATATTCATCTTTCCTATAAATACTACTTACTGGAACATTAACAACAAGCACCCAAAGGCTGATTAACTTTTGGACTTCAAGGATGCCAAGTAGCCTAGTGATTGATTTTAATTTTTACTATCCAATGTTACATGACCAAAGGAAACAGGTGTGTGTGTGTGTGTGTGTGTGTGTGTGTGTGTGTATGTTTGTGTCTGTTTGTTCAAATTAAAAAAACTGGATACTTCAGGTAATTATTTAACTTTTAAAGAAATTGGCTTCAAGTAAAATAATGACTAACATTTAAGTCAAGACCCCCATCTTCAATTAAATATATTACAAAAATTGGTTTGAAAGACTTTCCAAATATCTACTGAAATTAACACAGGCCACATTTCAAAAATCTCATCCCTTATTGAGCATTTGATTTGGGCAATATACTAGTCATTTAAGAAAATTTTTAAAATATATTTTTTCCCAAGTATGACTACAATCTTATTCTTCCTTCTAAGCTAGTGATTCTTACCCTGGCTGCATATCAGAATCACTTGAAGAGTTTTTAAAAAACACCAATGCCTAATTCCCATGTCTTCCTTCTGATGCAACTGGAATGGGGTGAGCTCTAGGCCTTGGTAATTTTTACATAACTCTCTAGGTGATAACTGCTCTTGGTTATCAAATTCACTTCTTACAAGTTCCATGGCTTCAAACATCTAGGTTACATATTAAAATGAGAGGGGAAAAAATAAAGCATCACTTTTATTATCAATTTATAAAAAACAAATCTATTCCCTAAACAATAAATCATAACAATATTATCCCAGATAAAGTTAAGTGTCAACAAAGTAAAAAGGAAAGCATGAGAATATTCATGCCAGTCATGGTGACTGAAATCATGTTATCTTTTGAGGTGAAAAACAGCCCAGATTAGAAATGAAACTGGGAAGACTTCTCATTCTGTGCAAAAATTAAAAATTTGAGATTGTGCACCAGGACATACAGTAATAACACAAAGCATTCCTTGAATCAAGTGTTGTAAATAAATACTTGTTAGAGAAAATTACAGAAAGTTGGTACCTTTGTAAAAGTAGAAAATTAACTAGAAAATTACTTTCATATTCAACATACTGGTCAAACATTTTCTCATCAAACAGAGAGCTTCTACCACAGGAATATTGAAAAGAATATTTAAAACTTACCATTCACTATTTTGGCTATTAAACATATACTCTCAGAATGATACTATCTAATGACAGTGTTACTAAACAAACAGAAGTGGTTCCTTTCCAAATGACAGGTATTTAAAGATGGTAGGTAAGATATCTTTTGAGTTCAAAATTTAAAAGTCATTTAGTTTTTAACAAAAACATATTTCCTACCCCTGGGTATTACAGTTCACCAGCTTAATTCAGGGATTTAAAAATAGTGAATCAGGTCAGGCACAGTGGCTTACACCTATAATCCTAACACTTTGGAGGTCAAGATGGGAGGATCACCTGAGTTCAGAAGCTTGAGGCCAGGAGTTCCAGACCAGCCTGCACAACAAAGTAAGACCCTCATCTTTACAATCAATCAATTAATCAGCAAGCCAGCCAGTTAGGTGGCATGTGCCTGCAGTCCCAGCTACTAGAGGTACTGAGGTAGCAGGATTGCTTGAGGTTAGGAGTGTGAGATCAGCCTGGGCAACATAGCAATATGCTGTCTCTAAAAACACCACCACCACTACCTCCTCCAAAACCCAGTGAATCAAAAGCTTTATAGCATTTGATTATATTATGCTTTACAGTAGGAGCCCTTAAAAAGAAAACTATTCTATTTATGCTAAGTTATAAGTATCTTTAACTTAAGAACCACATCATAATAACCTGTGTTTCCTGCAGTGACCAGGAAAAAGCAGTACATGGTTAGCACATTCCATATCTACTGTAATATGCACCATGCAAGATACTTTATATTATTTAATTCCACAATGAGCTTATAAATTAGGAATTATGATCTCCATTTTTCAGGAAAGGAAAGGTGACTTACCCAAAGAAATTTTTATTCAGATGGACTCGCTCTTTTCAATACACTTTAGTTAACTGAAATTTTTTTTATTTTAAATTTTTGTGGGTACATAGTAGGTATATACACGTAAAGGGTAATGAGACGTTTTGATACAGTCATGTAATGTGAAATAATCACATCATGGAGAATAGGGTATCCATCCCCTCAAGCACTTATCCTTTGTGTTACAAAGGATCCAATTACACTTTTAGTTATTTTAAAATGTATAATTACATTATTAATAACGATAGTCACCCTGTTGTGCTATCAAATAGGTCTTATTCATTCTTTCTATTGTTTTCTGTACTCCTTAACTGGTACTATTGTCTACCCCTCACTTACCCTTTAGTAAAAAGTTAACAAGTTAACTTTAGCTAACTCCTTAAAAAATGATCCCCAATTTATTTTATTATCCACTAATAACTACTTTGTGGGTAACCAAATAAATAGTTGTGAACTTGAACTCAAAAATCATTAAAGTATATGGTCAAAATAGTTTAATTACAGATATACAGATGGCAAACAGGCATATGAAAAGGTACTCGACACACTGATGAGAGAAATGCAAATCAAAACTACAATGAGACATCATTTCACCCCAGTTAAAATGGCTTATACCCAAAAGACAGGCAATAAGAAACGCTGGCAAGGAGGTGGAGAAAAGGTAACTCTCATACACTGTTGATGGGAATGTAAATTAGTACCACTATGCAGAACAGTTTGGTAGTTCCTCAAAAAACTAAAAATAGAGCTACCATATGATCCAGCAATCCCACTGCTGGGTATATACGCAAAAGAAAGAAAAACAGTACAAAGAGATATCTGTACTCCCACATTTGTTGTAACACTATTCACAACAGCCAAGATTTGGAAGCAACCTAAGTGTCCATAAACAGATGAATGGATAAAGAAAATATGGTACATATACACAATGGAGTATTATTCAGCCATAAAAAGAATGAGATCCTGTCATTTGCAAAATAATTTAATTATACTTTTACCCTGGGCTTTTTATATTATGAGGAAATAACATTATATTTATTGGTTACCTACAGTAACCAAGGGTGTGAGGCATTTATACATGTTATATTATGCTATCTTATTTAATCCTCACAGTAACCCAATAAAATATTCCTTCAGAGGAGGAAACAGTGACCGAGAAGTGCAGAGAAATGCCTAAGGTCATACAAGCAAACAGAACATATCACTCACTTCTTATGAGAAGAAATCTCATTATAAGTGATAACCCAACTGGCAGCTTTTCTTCTTAGAACATGTAATTTTGTTTTTGGGACTCCATCCTAAATATTTAAATTATATGATCATATTACTAGAGTGTCTCAAATACTTATTTACATAAATTAATTAAAAGCGCTCAAATCATAGGGCTCCAAAATATATTTCAAAATAAGTTCTGTTAAAGTAATGTATTTCTTAGTCACTTTGCGGTTTATTGCACTTCCGGAACCAGCTACTGATAAACTTCCTCTTTTTCTATAGAAACTACTTCGGTTTGCTAGAGGAACATTTTAAATCTGAACTGAACCACTCATTTTGCTTTCTTGGCCAAATCACCAAAATGTCTAGTTAGAACAAGAATTTAGCATTCTGCAAAGAAGTTAACAGCTGAGGTAAGAAAATTTTCACATAATTTGATCTTGCTTTGTATAAAATTTATTTAAAAACTGTCATTAGTGTTTTAAACTTAAACTCTGACAGTCTAAAGATATATGTAACAGGTTTTCATGGCTTTGTTGTATAGAATTAAAAAAAGACTCAGTGTTGAGCTTGCCTTAGAAAAAGATTTCCACCTAGATTTGTATAAGACCTTTTAAGTTTATTTAATTGTATTTGAGTATTTTTGTTTTTTTGAGACGGAGTCTCGCTCTGTCGCCCAGGCTGGACTCCAATGGTACCACCTTGGCTCACTGCAACCTCTGCCTCCCAGGCTCAAGCGAGTCTCCTGCTTCAGCCTCTCGAGTAGCTGAGATTACAAGTGCCCACCCACACCTGGCTAATTTTTTTGTACTTTTAGTAGAGATGAAGTTTCACCATGTTGGCCAGGCTGGTCTACTCCTGACCTCAGGTGATCCTCCCACCTCAGCCTCCCAAAGTGCTGGGATTACAGGCATGAGCCACTGCACCCAGCCACAATCATATTTGTTAATCTTAGTTTTATAATTAAAAAGAAACTATAGCCATGGCAGATAAAGGTAAGGGTTAGAAATAGAACTAGATTCCATGGGCTACGACTGAATTTATAACCTCCAAAATATTAATTGTTGAAAGTTCTAGTTTACCTTTTATAAAATGTTCCTGTACATAATATAATCCATTAATTAACATTTTTGTATCCCCTTTAGTATGCATAGTAAGAATGGTCACCTTCACTTAATTTAGAAAGAAAGAAATCAGATGTGGTATTTTATTATTATTTATTACTATATGTGCTTAATTTTTTACACATAGATTTTTACATTTAATAACATGAAAACATTACGGCTCATTTTAAAAGCTTACTAAGTCAAAAATGTTAGTCAATAATCAAACATGCACACATATATTAATATCATCTATGTGTTTATGTCACATATTATGAGCCTTTAGAAAATAGTATATGATAGAACAAACCCACAGAATAAACAATAGACAATTCTTAATATGCATAAAAGATGTTTACTATGTGGGTAAACTGGGCAAATAAAAACTGCAAAGAGTATTTTACACAGACTTGTAATTTCAGGGAATAATACATTCATAGTGGGTGATATCCTATTTCAACACTTAATAAATACTTATGACTTTCTCTTAGAAGGAGTTCTTTTAAGTAATTATTTGGAAGTCAGAAAATAAAGATATCTCTTTTTCAGATAAAGCTTGTCTACATATTTTTCTGCTTCTAATATTTAGTTATGTCATTATGCATACTAAGTCATATAATCATATTAATTTTTCACTCTATTTCATAAAATAAACTAAAAAATTTCCCATAAATTTTTGACAATGGTGTATCTTTGTCATCATAGAATCCCATACTTTTTTTTTTTTTTTTTTTAGACAGAGTCTCACTCTGTTGCCTAGGCTAAAGTGCAGTGGCACGATCTTGGCTCACTGCAACTTCTGCCTCCTAGGCTCAAGTGATTCTCCCTGGGATTATAGGCACCCACCATGTCTGGCTAATTTTTTGTAATTTTAGTAGAAACAAGGTTTCACCATGTTGGTCAGGCTGGTCTCGAACTTCTGACCTCAAGTGCTTGGCTTGCCTTGGCCTCCCAAAGTGCTGGGATTACAGGCAGGCGGCACTGTGCCCAGACCTATACATGTTTTTAAAAGGCGAGACCCACATCTAAAGTTTACTAGTAGTGCCTGTGTTTTCCAGTTAATACTTTCATAATTCTACTTAGAAGGAAACTTTAATTCTGAATAACTTTGAATTGAGAAACCTAAATCTGATGGTTTCAATGTCTAAGCTTTAAAAAAAAAAATCACCAAAAATTTTTCAGTAAACTTACTAAATATGACAGTTTACAGAAACCATTCAAAATTCTTTTAATTGTTTTAGTAGAATCAGGACTAAATGAATTTTCTGGTATTTCTTTCCTACCCTGTATCTAAGACTACCTACAAGTGTTATTTACATATTATTCCTGCCAACTTACATCTCCTTCCTTCATCAAGCATTTCTATTTCATAATTTCTCTATGAAAGGCATTATGGCACACATAGGGACATGTGACAGAAAGGGCTCTGGCACAAGATTAGCATGGTTTTTGTATTAGTGCCACTATTTAGAGCTGTGATACTGGCAAGTTACCCAACATCTGTGTATCTCAATTTGCTTATCTGTAGGATAAAAACGTCACCACCTTGTCATTAAAATGGGATACTGCTTAGCCTTTGTTGGGTGCTCAGAAAACGGTCATATCATTGATACAAGATGGTCATCAAATACTTCCTATTGTAGTTTAAGGTCAATTTCCCTTTCCACTCTTCCTCAAGATGCAGAATGGCTGTTTTTTTCTTTTATGGTTTCAAAACTTCACTAGAGATAATACTAGTGCTAAATTTTAATCTGTTATATCTGCATCACAACTTTTATTATATGAAAGTAATTGATAATGCTATTTATATTTGTCTTCGTCTAGGATATGCTCTCCAAATTTTGAGTCTCTTTAAAAGACAGTGGTATACTTCCTATCATATCCAACTTAACAGTATCAATTTTAAATGCTGGACCCTTTATGTACTTATGCATTATATATAAGAACATGTCTATGGCCTGGCTCAGTGGCTCATGCCTATAATCCCAGCAGTCTGGGAGGCCAAGGCAGGCAGATCACTTGAGTCCAGGAGGAGATCACCCAGACCAGCCTGGGTGACATGATGAAACCCCACGTCTACAAAAAAATACAAAAATTAGCTGAGCGTGGTGGTGCACACCTGCAGTTTTAGCTACTCTAGGTAGGCTAGGATGGGAGGCTCGTTTAAGCCCACAAGGCAGACGTTGCAGTAAGCTGAGATTACACCACTGCACTGCAGCCTGGGTGACAGAGTGAGACCCTGTCTCCAAAAGAAGAAAAAAAAATACAGCATATGTGTTATACATGGGGACTCCTGCTTCACTATAACTGTCTTGAAAATGTTTAGTTAAAATAGTTTGTTTTTCCTCTTTTTAAAATATTCCAAATATTCAACAAAGAAAAAGAACCAAAATCACAGATTTAAACCACAAAGAGCCAGCCTATAATAATGAATAAAATACTGGATATGAAGGCTGACAAATTTGGTATTTGAGCAGCACACTAAGGGATTTCTAGAAAAACTCTATATAAAACGTACACAGGTACATGGGCTCTCCGGAGTAATTACTAGGTATGCTTCTGAATAGTGCTGGGGGAAAAAAAGAGAGAGAGAAGATGGTAAGGATACTCATAGCAGACAGGAGAGCCTGAAATGAAAGGTAAATGAATTTGAAAGGATGGTTCATTCTGGTCCTCCATCTTAGAAAGCAAGCTCCTCTTTACTGTCTCCCTGTACTAACAAACACAGGCCAGCCATGAGAGAGCAGCATTTCCTGGTTGCTTCTTTCATCTACTTCAATCATCTCCCTCAACTTCTTCATTTCACCTACTTCAATCTTCTACCCTGCCTTCTTGCTAATTATATAACTACTGCTTTTTTTCTTCAGCTGTTTATTAACTTTTCTTCTTTTCTATACCTTCTCTAGTCAACTGACCTTCCTCTTTTCTCTTTGCAGCTTCCTATAGTTTTGGATTTTTCTCTTTTGTGTTATTTTGTATTTCTTTGCATTGCCTTTTATCTTATTCTAAAGTTCCTTCTCCTTTTTATTCCCCTGCCCAATGTTGTTCTTTCCCTACAGAAAAAATGTTCGTAGTTCAGGTACACATCACTTACATATTTTTTAATGTGTATGCTAAATAACCTTCCATACTAGTAATAACACTGGCCTCACTACCTGTGGGAAAAAAGCCAGTTTTTTTTTTTTTTTTTTTTTTTACCACTACAGTCCTTATTTATTCTTCTTTTAAATCATTCTTCTCCTTCTCTGAACTGTACTGAATTGCCATCATAGAATTCTAATATAGTTTCTATTATTCTGATGTAGCAGATCCTAGGATAAAAAGCTAACTGAAGAGTGGGAGAAAAGATAGGTAAAAAATTAAATTTTGTTTTAATAATGCCATAACTGTTAAGTGACAAGTGAAAATCTCATACAAGGAAGGTTCCACCAAATTCCTACTGACATCGAGGATATGAATCTATCAAAATCCATCTTACAAACAAACCTGGGTTTATAATTGTGTTCCTATTTGGGCTCTTTCCTTCTCTAATGCCTTTTTCAGCTAACTATAAAAAGGAACCATATGGTTTCCTTATTTTAAGCAAAGTCACAAAACAGGAAACATTATTGGCTAAAGAATTCATGTCCTATATTTTCTGATGATCTGGTTGGCATTAAAACACATTTTAAAAATGAAGCTGAAGAATAACATTTTCTAATGAAGCCCTCAGCCTTTTTTTTTTTCTTTCGGTAATCTATAAGAATAATGGGTAGGAACTGCATGGATGATGACCATATAAACATGATTCAAATTCCTGTATCTATGCCAAAAGATAGATATCAAATCTTTTGCAAAATGAATAAAAAGCAAAACTTATTAACACAGATTTCAATGTCTCTGCTTATATTCTGGTAGAAGTACTAGTAAAAAGTAAAGTGGAAAGGAATTAAGAAACCCAATAAAGGTTAAATATTTACTGTGCTCCTAATATATAAGGCATTATACTGCAGAGAAATAAAAATAGAAAACATGAGGCAATACAGGGTATTGGAATGTATGCTTTGGAATCAGATGGCCCTGGGTACAAACTCCCAATCTGTCACTTGGAGTGGTATAACATCAGGCAAACTGCTTAATCCATTTGATGTTGTCTCTTTATCTGTAAATAAAGGATCTCTTTACCTTCTTCATAAAGTCATTTAAAGGTTCAATGAGATAAAGTATGCAATACTGGGATAGTACAACACACAGTATGCTCTAGATAAGTATTTTTCTTTCTTTTCTTTCTGCCTTCTTTGAGGTTCTTTATAACTTGTTCAAGGAAGTAGGTACAAGAAAATGTGAAAAGTAATAAAAAATAAACACAATTACTTAAGAGAATAGACGCATGAGTGAGGTACATACATGAATTATGTAAGAAACCATAAAAACAATAAATAAGAGCTAGGGGGATTCAGCAAATGACCGATCTCTTTGGGCTGTACTCAGTCACAGAGAACTAGGTTAAGAAGGGGAATTTAAACTGAGTTCTGAAAGATGATGACAGATTCAGACAGGCAGCCAGAAAGAGGAAGAGGCTAGGTTTGGAAGGAAAAAAAAAAACACCCTTGAGGAGAGTAAAAAATAGCATAAAAGTGTCTGTTTAGGGGGTAAAAACCATGTGTTCAGAAAGTCTGTAAGGTGGGGAAGGGATGCATTTGGCTAGATAAGAAGTTTCAGTCATGACATATGACTCTGGCCTGATTAACTAAAGCCAAAAGGGAAAAAAAACTCAATTTAGAAGTGTTATCTTAATAGGCCAGGTACGGTGGCTCACGCCTGTAATCCCAGCACTTTGGAAGGCTGAGGCAGATGGATCACTTGAGGTCAGGAGTTTAAGACCAGTCTGGACAACATGGTGAAATCCCGTCTCTACTAAAAATACAACAATTAGTGAGGTGTGGTGGTGCATGCCTACTGTAGTCCCAGCTACTTGGGCGGCTGAGGCACAAGAATCACTTGAACCCAGAAGGTAGAGACTGTAGTGAGCCAAGATCATGCCACTGCACTCCAGCTTGGGTGACAGAGCGATACTCTCTCTCAAAAAGAAAAAAAAAAAAAAAGGAAGTTTTATCTTATCAGAAATAGAAAACCCTCAAGCAAGGGAGTAGTAACCTGATCATGCATGCTTTTAAGATTAACTCATCAGCAGTGTGCAGCAGAGTTCAAAGGAGAACTGTTTAAAATTTAGGTTTGAAGTATTTTTATAAAAAAATCACATATCTTTTCTTCTACTAAAACAGGATCATTTATCATCACTGTGTACCCAGTGGTAGAGAAGTAAGCAACGAAAACTACTTAGATACACTGAAAGGTAATTTGCAAAACCTTTATTGCACCTTCCAACAGAACGTCAAATCTCTAAATATAGGTTTATGAGTCAGTTTCCAATCATGTATACCAATATCTAACACCCTAAGATTTTCTATTCCCTAATGTTAAGAAATAACCAAGTCGTTGCCATTGTCTTTGATGATGTGCAAAACAAATATATTAAACTAAAAGTTGAAAATTGTCTCAGTAGAACTCCTCACTTTAGAGAAAAGGCAATTGAGAACAGGAAAGGTTAAGCAACCAGTTCTCATGGTTAGATAGGTAGTTAGATGAGAGAAGTAGAACTGGAACTTAACTCTCCAAGTTTTAGCATTCACCACATCCCAGAAAAAGCCCTACCTGCCAAACTTACACATGTGCCTTATTTTCTTGCACCCACATTGTTGCTCTCCCTGGCTGGAAATCTGTTTAATTAGTTCTTATAGACCTTTCAAAATTCAGTTCAAGTTTTGCTTCTCTGAAACCTTCCTAGGCTAGGTTAACTTCTCTGTACATCTCCTGTATACCTTTATGAGAAAGCTTATCAAATTATTGTAATTGGGCCAGGCGTGATGGCTCACACCTGTAATCCCAGCACTTTGGGAGGCCAAGGAGGGCAGTTCACCTGAGGTCAGTTCTCTACCAGCCTGGCCAACATGGTGAAACCCCATCTCTGCTAAAAATACAAAAATTAGCCAGGTGTGATGATACGTGCCTGTGATCCCAGCTACTTTGAGGCTGAGGCAGAAGAATCACTTGAATCCGGGAGGTGGAGGTTGCAGTGAGCCCAGATCGCACCAGTACACTCCAGCCTGGGTGACAGAATGAGACTCTGTCTCAAAAAAAAAATTATTGTAATCATTTTTTAATTTTTTGGGGGGGGACAAGTCTTGCTCTGTCATCCAGGCTGGAGTGTAGTGGTATGATGTTGGCTCACCGAAACCTCCACCTCCTGGGTTCAAATTATTCTCCTGCCTCAGCCTCCCAAGTATCTGGGACTACAGGTGTGTGCCACCATGCCCTGCTAATTTTTGTATTTTTAGTAGAGATGGGGTTTCACTGTGTTGGTCAGGCTGGTCTCGAACTCTCAACCTCATGATCTGCCTACCTTGGCTTCCCAAAGTGCTGGGATTACAGGCGTGAGCCACCATGACTGGCCTATTGTCATTATTTTTACTTTTTTTCTTTCTTCTTTTTATTTAGAGACGGGGTATCACTATGTTATCCAGACTGGTCTTGAACTCCAGGCCTTAAGCAGTCCTCCCACCTTGGCCTCCCAAAGTGCTGGAATTATAGGCACGAGCCAGCACGCCTGGCCATTATTGTTTTCTTCTACCACTAGAATCTGAAACACTTGAAGGCACTGACTATTTTTTTTTTTTTTTTTTTTTTAATCTCCTAAACCTAGAACAGGGCTCCACACAAACCTATTATTTACCAATCAATGAATGAAAGCAGCAGCAGGCCTACTTGACCAACTGGATTGGATTGACTCTACCAGATTTGGAGATCACTCTAGGATTTTAAGACTAGGACCCTCAGTTGAATTTAATCCTTTAAAAATATGCAATCTTAATATAAGGCTACCATGCTACAGAGACACTGAGGATGCTGCAAAGCTTACTAATAAATACATTCTGTGCCTAAGAAATTTGGTGGTACCATTAACAAACACAGAGAAGCTGGGTGAAGACTCAGTTGTGAGGGTATAGATGAATTCCATTTTAAATATGTTGAATTTGCCAATAGTGGGATATATACATGAAAACATCCACCAAGAAGTCATACAAATAGAATTAAAACAAAGAAGATTTAGGCTGGACGTAAGGTTGGGAATTGTAGCATAAAGCTGAGAACTAAAATCTTATAGCATCAGTAACAAAGAAAACTAGGTAAGTTTGAGGACTGAATATCAATTATCCATACTTAAGAGGGAGGAGAAAAAGAGCTAGTGAGAGTAACATGAAAGGAATACAAAGAGCTACTCGAATATTAGTGAAGGAATAGTAGTGTCTAATGTGGTCAAGGAGGGGAGGGGAGAGAAGAAATAAAAAACAATTGGATTAAGTAACAGATGGTCACTTGTGTTCTTCAAGGTAGGAGAATCAATATATTCCTAGTAGCAAAGGTGGAGAAAGGTAGAGAACACATGGATCCAACGTACAGAGCCTATGTATTTTGAGAAGTATGACTGAGGTGAAGGACTGAAATATAATGAAGCTAGAGGAGCAGCAGGGCCAAGTACAGATCTTGAATTAATAAAAGAAGTAAGAGAGATCACAGCTTATGATGTCCAAATGCTTTATGATGGATTAGTGTATATCCAAGAGTTTTTACACCAGCCTATGGTGTGTCAGGTCTAAATTGGGAATAGTAACCACTAATCAACTACTACTAATTAGGAATAATGTCTACCTACTTTATGCCAGGCATTATAATGAAAAGTCAAATTTTTAACTAGACACCAATGACATCTAACTGTCTTTCTCTTCCTTTCATTATAAACCCACTATAGGTAAGGAGAAAACATTCTGAAATGGATCCCAAATATTTCATCTTAATGTTGTTTTGTGGACACCTGAACAATACATTTTTTTCAAAGACAGAGACAATTACAACAGAGAAGCAGCCACAGCCTACCTTATTCAGATCATCAACGTCATATGTCTTAGCTAATTCTCAAAACACAACAGAGAATCCTATGGGTCAATCAACACAATTCAATGACACATCTTCTAGACAATCAATATCATCTGCCAAAGCCACTGCTGGACAACCAACACCAGCTGTCTATACTTCTTCTGAAAAATCAGCAGCACATACTTCCGCTGGACAACCACTTGCCTCTAACACCAAACAACCAATACCAACAGCCAGCACCTCCTCCCAGCAACCTGTGTTCACCTCTGTCAGACAACTACCACCATCTACCCATATTTTTACCACACAACCACCAACGCCATTTGTCTATACTTTCAATCAACAATCATCATCTGTCCAGATCCCTTCTAGAAAACAAATACCACCAACTGTTCAAGATCCATCCACACAACCAACATCAACTGTCAAAAATTCACCTAGGAGTACACCAGGATTTATCTTAGATGCTACCAGTAACAAACGCACGCCACAAAAAAACAATAATAATTCAACAGCTGCCATACTAGTTGGTGTACTTCTGACTTCTATGTTGGTAGCTATAATAATCATTGTCCTTTGGAAATGCTTAAGGAAGCCAGTTTTAAGTGATCAAAATTGGGCAGGTAGATCTCCATTTGCTGATGGAGAAACTCCTGACATTTGTATGGATAACATTAGAGAAAATGAAATACCCACAAAACGTACTTCAATCATTTCACTTACACCCTGGAAACCAAGCAAAAGCATACTTTTAGCAGATGATTTAGAAATCAAGTTGTTTGAATCAAGTGAAAACATTGAAGACTCCAATAACCCCAAAACAGAGAAAATAAAAGATCAAGTGAATGGTACATCAGAAGATAGTGCTGATGGATCAACAATTGGAACTGCTGTTTCTTCAGATGATGATACAGATCTGCCTCCACCACCTCCCCTTCTGGATTTGGAAGGACAGGAAAGTAGCCAGTCTGTCAAACCCACAATGACAATTTTATCTCCTCTTCCAAATGATTCTCCTAGTCTTCCTCCATCTCTGGACTGTCTCAATCAAGACTGTGGAGATCATAAATCTGAAACAATACAATCGTTTCCATCCCCCACTGACTCACTTAACTTGCCCCTGCCACCAGTAGATTTGATGAAAAACCAAGAAGATTCCAACCTTGAGATCCAGTGTCAGGAGTTCTCTATTCTTCCCAACTCTTATCAAGATCTTAATGAATCCCTGCCACCTCCACCTGCAGAACTGTTATAAATATGACAACTTGCTTTTTAGCTGATCTTCTATCCTTAAATGACTCTCTTTTGATTTTCTTTATATGTTAAAATATATAAAATGGCAACTGGTAGTCAATTTTAATTTTTATTCAGGAACTATCTGAAATCTGCTCAGAGCCCATGTGCATAGATAATTATTATTATTATTATTTTTAAGAAGGAGTCTTGCTCTGTCGCCCAGGCTGGAGTGCAGTTGTGTGATCTCAGCTCACTGCAACCTTTGCCTCCCAAGTTCAAGCAATTGTCTGCCTCAGCTTCCTTAGTAGCTGAGATTGCAGCCACGCCTGGCTATTTTTTTTTTTTTTCACTCTGTCGCCAGGCACCAAGCTGGAGAGCAGAGGCGTGATCTCAGCTCATTGCAACCTCCACCTCCCGGGTTCAAGCAATTCTCCTGCCTCAGCCTCCCGAGTAGCTGGGACTACAGGTGCACACCACCACATCCAGCTAATTTTTGTATTTTTAGTAGAGACGGGGTTTCACCGTGTTGGCCAGGATGGTCTCGATCTCTTGACCTTGTGATCTGCCCACCTCAGCCTCCCAAAGTGCTGGGATTACAGGTGTGAGCCACCACGCCCAGATTATTTTTTGTATTTTTAGTAGAGACGGGGTTTCACCATCTTGGCCAGGCTGGTCTTGAACTCCTGACCTCATGATCCACCTGCCTCGGCCTCCCAAAATGCTGGGATTACAGGCATGAGCCATCACACCCAGCTGAAACTTAAAAAAAAAAGTTATTTAACAGTAATCTATTTACTAATTATATGTAGTTTACTTTAAAGGTAAGTAAACTACATTTTACTTACCTTTAAAGTAAACTACATATTACATATATAAGTCGTCTGTGTTTCAATAATTTTTTAATCACTCTAAAACAATCTACATATACTTACTATTACCCAGTACAGTTTTTTTATTCCTGAAAAGCTGTGTATAAACTTATTGTGAATAAATAAACTTTTATGTTTCCATTTCAAAGACTGGGGTGGAGAGGAATAAGAGACTAAGTACACACTCAAAGTTTTAAATTAATACCTCAAGTATTAAATAAATATTCCAAGTTTGTGGGAATGAGAAATTAAAATGCATGATTGAGAATAGAGAAATTTTCTTCTTGGTTTCAATGGAAACAGTAAAACAAACATGCTAACATCAAACTGAGGGTTTGGGTTAGGGACATTTACCCTGAAAAAAATATGAGGATGCATCATAAAATGTAAATATTTTCCTATCATGTTGCGGGAAGACAAACTTTAAAACTAGCATCTTTAAAAAGTTTCTTTATAAGCACCCCCAAAAAAATCAAGTTTAATAAAGAAAAAATAAAGGAAAAGAAGACTATGGCTTTCTTCTAAATATGGGTGATTTGGAGTGTTTTTTTTTTTTTAAATTCTTTTATTTTTTAGGAAAAAAGACTATCAAAACACAGATGATTCTCAACTTTTTACTAAGCTTTACTTTCTGGCACTATCCATTTAAACTCTTAAATCAACTTTCTTATGCAGAATTTCTTTATCCGTTATCTAACAGGTCTGAGTTACTAGAGTAGGAATGGGCCTAATCTTTGTCAAAGTCAAAGTGGTCATCAGCCTGTGCTTTTGGCAATGCCAGCCTGTGTCGCAGAAGTGCTCCTTGGCCAACAAACACATACTCTTCCCTCAATAGTCCCATCTAACTCCAGGGGAAACAAGCACTTAGAATAAAATGTGGTGGCCAGGCACGGTGGCTCATTCCTGTAATTCCAGCATTTTGGGAGGCCAAGGAGCGAGGATCACGAGGTCAGGAGTTCGAGACCAGCCTGGCCAACATGGTGAAACTCCGTCTCTACTAAAAACACAAAAATTAGCCAGGTGTGGTGGCGGGTGCCTGTAATCCCAGCTACTTGGGAGGCTGAGGCAGGAGAACTGCTTGAACCTGGGAAGCAGAGGTTGCAGTAAGCCAAAATGGCACCACTGCACCCCAGCCACCTGGAGTGGGTGACAGACCAAGACTCTATCTTGGCAAGGTGGCAGAGGGGGGGTGGTAGTCTCATTGGTAGCCCAGTTTTGGGGAATCACTTATAGTTCTGGGATTTTCAGAAGAGAACACAGCATTTATTCACAGCACTGGTATTCATGACATTAATAAAACTTCATATTTAATAAGAAGCAGTAGGGTTTTGGACACAGGAATGTTATATACAATGTTTTTCCTATAATCCTTCAAGCCATCTCTACTGATCTTTAATATTTTTTTAATCTGTAGAAACACTTCACTGAGCTTCTTACTTTTCCTGAATAAGCATGATACTTACTGTAATATTATTACATCTTTTGTCTTCCACATTAAAAACTTTCTTTCATGTATTCTTCAAACTTAGTACTTTTTTTTTTTTTTGAGATGGAGTTTCAGTCTCTTGCCTAGGCTGGAGTGCAGTGGCGCAATCTCAGCTCACTGCAACCTCCGCCTCTCGTGTTCAGGAAATTCTCCTGCCTCAGCCTCCTGAGTAGCTGGGACTACAGGTGCGTGCCAAAACGCCGAGCTACTTTTTGCATTTTTTTGGCAGAGACAGGTTTTCACCATATTGCCCGGTCTGGTTTGGAACTCCTGACCTCATAATCTGCCTGCCTTAGGCTCCCAAAGTGCTAAGATTACAGGTGTGAGCCACCACACCTGGCCTAAACTTAGTACTTTTAAAGCTAATTTCCCCAGCGGCATTCTGGAGTTGAGAATTTCCTATTATTCTTTTGAATTTTAAGAATTTTTGTTATGGTAAAGAAGATATAATTTTATTTTATTTTATTTTTTTTGAGACGGAGTTTCGCTCTTGTTACCCAGGCTGGAGAACAATGGCGCAATCTCGGCTCACCGCAACCTCCGCCTCCTGGGTTCAGGCAATTCTCCTGCCTCAGCCTACTGAGTAGCTGAGATTACAGGCACGCGCCACCATGCCCAGCTAATTTTTTGTATTTTTAGGAGATGGGGTTTCACCATGTTGACCAGGATGGTCTCAATCTCTTGACCTCGTGATCCACCCGCCTTGGCCTCCCAAAGTGCTGGGATTACAGGCTTGAGCCACTGCACCCGGCCAAGATATAATGTTTTTATACTTGGCCAAGTCTTTGATATACCTTAAATCATAACTCTTCTCATTTTACATTTATGACAGTTACCTAATGGACTCTTTCCACATTTTTGCCCCTTTTTACCACCTGCTTTCCTCAAAGAAATATTGGGAAAAATATGAAAATATCAATTTTTTTAGATAAAACGGGAGCTGATTAGCTGACCACAGTCTTGTCTGATATCTTTAAGTACTTTAAAGGCAGGTTTTCTCTTTCTGTTCTTTGTAAAACAGGACAGACTACTGGCAGCAGCTAGGTTTTCATGTTGTCTTTTTTCCTTTTTTTTTTTTTTAAACAAGAAATTCTTTACTGGGGGAAGAATTCACATTTAACTTTATGTAATTTTCCCCATCGAGGTCAGTGGAAGCTAAGCAGCCAAACAGTGGCAATCATTGCTTAATCAACAGGAAAAGACACATGCTAATAAATACAGGGCAGAAGAAAATGCTGGAACAAAGAATGTATTTTAGAGAAAAAGATTAAAGAATTAGGATCCAAAAGAGAAAGTTTATTTCATGAATACTGCAAAAGAACAAGGCACAGGAGAATAAAAGGTAGATTAAACTTCACACCATATACTAGTGGTGCTCTTAACCAGAACAGCATTAACCATAGTCAGACACCACTCTGAAGACCATTTGGTTCAACTCCTTTTATTTGTTAACTGCTAAGAAAACAGGACCAGAGAAAGCAAGTGACTTGCTTAGACGTGGTACTTAAAGCTGAGTTTGCTCCCTGACTACTGGTTCAACAGTTTTTTCACGAATATAGGACTGAAGAGCACCTATGTCATGCATTGAAACAAACATATATCACACAAGTCTTCTATTTGGTGTGAGTGGTGAGGGACACAATGAATTAGATGAGGGTGATCTTTAATTGTTGTTCTTACTTAATTCTGATCAAAAAATAAAGTAGTACCTTTGGGCACCTATACATAATCATATACATTGTGGTACTGGTATATGACTAAACAGATCAATGAAACAGAAGAGAAAGTCCAGAAATAAATATCAAATCAGTGAGAATAAGCATTGGAACAACTGAAGAGATGTCTGGAAAAAGATAAAATTGGATCCATACGTCACATTATATTAGAATTAAAACCAAGGAGCAGAGTTCTAAATATAAACCATGAAATTGTACAAGTAGTAGAAGAAAATATGAGTGAATTCCTTTATAATCTGGAAGTGGGAAAAAATCTTCCTAGCTGAGACTCAAAATCCAGAGACAATCAAAAGGGGAATCAATGTACATGAAATTTTTAAACGTCACGCACACACCTCCCTCACCATAATAAAGCCAAAAGACAAATGGCAAACTGGAAAAAAAATTAAAACTTAAATCAAGACAAAAGTGGTAACACCTCTAAAATTTAAAAAGCTCCTAAATATGGCCAGGTACAGTGGCTCACACCTGTAACCCCAGCATTTTGGGAGGCTAAGACTGGTGGATCACAAGGTCAGGAGTCTGGCTAACAGTGGAACCCCGTCTCTACTAAAAATACAAAAAATTAGCCTGGTGTGGTGGCGGGCGCCTGTAATCCAGCTACTCAGGAGGCTGAGGCAGGAGAATCACGTGAACTCGGGAGGCAGCGGTTGCAGTGAGCTGAGATGGTGCCACTGCACTCCAGCCTGGGTGACAGAGTAAGCTCCTAAATATGGGGCAGGAAGGGGAAGAACCAAAACACAACTTTTTTAATAGTGTAAAACATAAAAAAGAGTTACAGGAGAAAACACTTAAATGGACTTTAAAAACATATGTAAAGATATCCACTACCCCTCATAATTTTTAGAGAGATGCATTTAAAATAACACTGAGATATCTGCTTATCAGATGGACAATAAATCCCAAAGTTCAACAACAAAGTACACGGTGAGGCTATATAGAAATAGACACTCTGATATACCATTGGTGGGACTACAAAATGGTATAATCAATGGAGAGGAATTTAGTAATGTTTGGAAAAATTCCAAATGCATTTATCCTCTTACCCAGCAATCCTACTTCTAGGAATCTCTTTCAAAGATTTACTGGCAAACATATGAAATTATTTAGGTACAAGGGCATTCATTGTGGCATTATTTGTAATAGTAAAAGTCTGAAAAAAAAAACCACCACCACCCACATGTCCACAAATAGGGGACTAGTTGAAAAGGCCATGGTCTATGGATCAAACAATGAATTAGACAAATACCTATATACCAATATGGAGTGATACTCAAGATACAGTAAGAAAAAAGAACAAGATGCATAACAGTATATATGTCACCTTTTATACAGAAGGGGGGATAAGAACATACCATACATACACTTAAATACATATTTTTATGTTTTCGAAATGTTAATGATACACTGAAAAGCTAATAAAAATAGTCATTAATAGAAGAAGTCATTAATAGCCATAATAATCATTAATAGCCATAATAGAAGGAAGAAAACAGGATGGAGTAGACAGAGAAGCAAGATTTCTCTGAATACACCTTGTAGTATAATTTTGACTTGTGATTCTGAAATATTGAAAATTGAAACTTTGTATCAAGTTGGTGATATAAAAATATACAGAAAAGAATTATTTCACACTGCATTAGAACACAGAATTTACTATAAACTCTTAGTGAAATAAAACAACAGAGATACGAAGAAACCTTAAACTTTATGCATTAGTCTATAATGTTACTGTAGCAATCATACTGGTATTATTTTTAAATTATTGTTGAGATAATGCAAATAAGCAATTATGTCAATGATATTAGGAACCATTTATAGAAAATATGAGGGATAGAAGAACAAATTAAATCTTCCCAAGGAGGCAAAAAGAAAAATCCAAGATGAGAGACATTTTAGGAACTGAGTTTTGGCAACAAGTCAGTGGCATAGAGAAAAAAAGGAATGGGGAGGTGGGAAAGAGACTGATTTACTTGGATTTTGACTTGGTAATTTCTATGTTGTTATGTCTTTCATGCTTTTAAAATATTTTATTGAGTACTCTCAGTTGTATTTAGCAGGAAAATCAGTCTAAATAGAGAACTATATTACCAAAAATAAACAATGTCTGACTCTCAGCCATAGCAAATGTTATCTATATTAATGGAAAGCTGAAACCACTGATTAACATGGGATAGCTATTCCCTGGCAGATGCTTTGTTATACCTTTCTCAATGTTGGGGTAATATAACCTAGGGAAAAAAAGAATATGTAAATTAATTTGCTGCTTAATCTAGAATGTAAAAGTTGCCTAAATAGCTATCATTACTGACCTAGACCAACTAATACAAAATGTAATGAGTCTGAATAATATTTAAAATAAGTTGTAACAAATACGCTTCTAAAAAACATTCTTTTTTGGAGTAACAGTAATATAGTATTATTTTAAGTTTAAGAGATTATTACAATTCAAATATATTGAAATGCTCTTTTTTTTTTTAGTATTTTACACTAATCTTTGAATAATATGAGGCAATTTGGTATGTCCCAAACTTGAAATGAGATACACTGCCACTATTATTGTATCGGAATTTTCAATTATATGCAACAGAAACTAAACTTGATACAGCCTAAATCCAAATTCATTTGAATCTGTCAATGAAGTAACGTGTCCTTTCTTTCAAACAAAAGTACTGTTAAGTTTAAGTGTAATGAAAATGAGTAACTCTACTTCCACATTGACTTACTGAGATTTCCTAAAAATTAAAAAAAGAGATTTAAGTGGTAAGTTGACCCTCAGTCACGTCTTTTGAAGTGCAAGTGTACATACGAGCTAAAATACAACTCTCAATGTCAATGGATTCCCTATTTTCACAATATTGCTGAATGTAGCATTTCTTACACATTACTTTTAAGCACTATGATTGATGGCTGGTTTCCTAAATCCACAGGAAGAATCTCATTAAAAGTCCAACTGAACCCTTAAAGTAAAGTGGCAATAAAGCACCTAATCAACAATAAATTTTTAATGTTGTAAACTTTTAAAATGTAGATACTTTACAAGAAATATTAGTTTTATACAAAAGGTGGTTCCTATAGTTTATCTTCTAAGAAAATAAACTTCAAATTTTACTATAACAAATTCTATTTGTGGTATAAGCTAAATAATAGTAAATATAATTTAGAGAAAAACAACATTTAGTAACAAGGCATAAAGGGATTTTTCTTATACATAATGTGTTAAATGCTACTGGTTTTTATTTTTATTTTTAATTAATTTATTTATATATATTTTTTGAGACAGAGTTTCGTTCTTGTTACCCAGGCTGGACTGCAATGGTGCGATCTCGGCTCACTGCAACCTCCGCCTCCTGGGTTCAAGCAATTCTCCTACCTCAGCCTCCCGAGTAGCTGGGACTACAGGCGTGCACCACTATGCCCAGCTAATTTTTGTATTTTTAGTAGAGACGGGGTTTCATCATGTTGACCAGGATAGTCTCGATCTCTTGACCTTGTGATCCACCCGCCTCGGCCTCCCATAGTGCTGGGATTATAGGAGTGAGCCACCGCGCCTGGCCAAATATTACTCGTTTTTAAATGGTGCCAACTTAGTAATGAAAATACCATAACTGGCCAGGCGCAGTGGTGCACACCTGTAATCCCAGCACTTTAGGAGGCCAAGGCAAGTGGGTCACCTGAAATCAAGAGTTCAAGACCAGCCTGGCCAACATGATGAAACCCCATCTTTACTAAAAATACAAAAAACTATCTGGGCATGGTGGTGGGTACCTGTAATTCCAGCTACTCAGGAGGCTGAAGCAGGAGAATCACTTGAACCCAGGAGGTAGACATTGCAGTGACTCCAGCCTGGGCAACCAGGGCGAAAGCCCATCTCAAAATAAAAAAAGAGAAAGAAAACCAGAACGTTACTTGCTTTTTAAGGTAAACCAACCTTTCTGGAAATCAGATTTATGTTTTAGCAGGTTTACACAAGCAGTCCACTAAAGAGTAGAGCACAATTTATCATAAATCTAATCTCATTATATAAAACTCATGATGAAAATTTTTTCTTTTACATTATTTCATGTAATTTTAAAACTATAAACTATTTTCCCAGAAAGATGAAATGTGAAACACTCTGAAATCATCTGAAATTGATATTGCTATTCTTAAAAAAGAAAATCAAATAAATGGTCATTCATATAGTACCAAAAATGTCTTTGGAAAAAATAATACTCATATCCACTTACACCCAAAGTTTCATAAGGAAAAAAGCTTTAACCCCAATATATAAAATAAAATGTTAATTTTACCATAGGAACTGATAATTTAAAGTATAAGATACTAATTTTCAAATGTATCCTGGTTTGTGTATAGCCTTGGTCAAATGATCCTTTGTATCAGAAAGATAAAGAGAAAATAATCATATTTCAGTACTTCTATACATCCTAAAAGGGAAGATGGAACATTTAAGTGGTTGATAAATTTGAAAAGCTGATTAAACATAATAATCACCATGTTGGGGGAGGACACAAAAATCATAAAACAGATTTTTATAGTATTTAAAAAGTGACATGGGAATTATGCCATTTTAGAAAGGAATATAAAAAGGCAGGAGTTAAAAATAGTGGGACTAATATAATAGAAAATTATCCATGAGGAAAGTCAAATTAATTTTTGACACGTAAAAAGAATAAAGAGTAGATGTATTTAAAATAATCACAGATTCTTAATGAGGCAAACGTTAAAATATGAAACCCAATCGCAGACAAATACATAGAAATGAGTAAAGGCCAACTCTAATGTGCATAACATATCCCATCCTATAACAAATCAGATACATAGGTATGCTTAATGCCATAAATTTAAAAAAAAATGTCCATTTTGTTGCGTGTGCACCTCTTACCATAAATTTGAGTCAGCACCAACGACAGCTCTGCAGTCCTTCTATGTGGTACTGATCAGGTGGTTGCAGAGCTTCAGCTCACAGCAACACAATGCAGCTGAGCAGGCAAGCACAGCCCACAGCCAGAAACAGTTCCGACTCTCCAGCATAAGACGACCTTTAAGCTTTAAGTTTCCCAGAGAAAATGAGATGCTGATATTGAAGACGACACTACGGTAAGCTGTTATTTAAATCAGTAAAAGACTGACTTTGGAATATTTTTCCTTTTTCTTTTCTTTTTAGAATAAGTCAACATTAAGATTGAATATGTATTCAACAGCAAGTGCATGCACCAGAAATTTGCTGCAGTGTCAGTTGAGGGATATTTTTATTATATTCATTCACTTTGTAAATATACATATTGTTTTCCTTTAAAATGGGCATTGAAATATACAGAAAAAAATGACTTTATAAAATGTGAGGTTTATAGGTACTGTGTAGGTCTATATTTTAAGTGCCTTTTACAAAGATATATTTATCCTAAAAACAAAGATAAAATTTCAAAGAACTGCTTTAATATCTAAATAAAGTCTCACCCTATACACACACATTGAATTACATTACTGCAGAGATTTAAAAAAAGAGAGAGACACGACAGCCATTTTTTCTCATCTGAGTAAGAAAGCATATTATCAAAAATAGTAATAGCTTAAGACTGCAACTCTATTTGCAAAGAATGCTATTTTTATCATATTACAGCTCTAGAAAGATAAATAAGAAAGAACATAGTTAAAAAGGGGGGGAGGGGGAGAGAAAATAAAGGAGAAAATGCAGGAGAGAGTAGGGAGAGAGTCTCTCTCTACCACATAGCCCAATTGAAGGATTAAGCATTTGGACTATAAATGAAGGGGAGCTTTGTTAGTTTAATCACTGGAACAATTATAAAAGGACTCAACAACAACGAGGTTTATTGAAAATTTTGCCTAATGCTAACTGACCCATGCAGATGCCTAAACTGTATTTGCATATTAAAAGAAGGGTGTATCTGTTTGTTTCTAGGCTTTGATGGAATATCAGATATTGAAAATGTCTCTCTGCCTGTTCATCCTTCTGTTTCTCACACCTGGTATTTTATGCATTTGTCCTCTCCAATGTATATGTACAGAGAGGCACAGGCATGTGGACTGTTCAGGCAGAAACTTGACTACATTACCATCTGGACTGCAAGAGAATATTATACATTTAAACCTGTCTTATAACCACTTTACTGATCTGCATAACCAGTTAACACAGTATACCAATCTGAGGACCCTGGACATTTCAAACAACAGGCTTGAAAGCCTGCCTGCTCAGTTACCTCGGTCTCTCTGGAACATGTCTGCTGCTAACAACAACATTAAACTTCTTGACAAATCTGATACTGCCTATCAGTGGAATCTTAAATATCTGGATGTTTCTAAGAATATGCTGGAAAAGGTTGTCCTCATTAAAAATACACTAAGAAGTCTCGAGGTTCTCAACCTCAGTAGTAACAAACTTTGGACAGTTCCAACCAACATGCCCTCCAAACTACATATCGTGGACTTGTCTAATAATTCTTTGACACAAATCCTTCCAGGTACATTAATAAACCTGACAAATCTCACACATCTTTACCTGCACAACAATAAGTTCACATTCATTCCAGACCAATCTTTTGATCAACTCTTTCAGTTGCAAGAGATAACCCTTTACAATAACAGGTGGTCATGTGACCACAAACAAAACATCACTTACCTACTGAAATGGATGAAGGAAACAAAAGTCCATGTGATAGGGACTCCATGTTCTACCCAAATATCATCTTTAAAGGAACATAACATATATCCCACACCTTCTGGATTTACCTTGAGTTTATTCACTGTAAGTGGGATGCAGACAGTGGACACCATTAACTCTCTGAGTGTGGTAACTCAACCCAAAGTGACCAAAATACCCAAACAATATCGAACAAAGGAAACAACGTTTGGTGCCACTCTAAGCAAAGATACCACCTTTACTAGCACTGATAAGGCTTTTGTGCCCTATCCAGAAGATACATCCACAGAGACTATAAATTCACATGAAGCAGCAGCTGCAACTCTAACTATTCATCTCCAAGATGGAATGGTTACAAACACAAGCCTCACTAGCTCAACAAAATCATCCCCAACACCCATGACCCTAAGTATCACTAGTGGCATGCCAAATAATTTCTCTGAAATGCCTCAACAAAGCACAACCCTTAACTTACGGAGGGAAGAGACAACCACAAATGTAAAGACTCGATTACCTTCTGAGGCAAAAGCTTGGAAAGTAAATGCTTCATTTCTCTTAATGCTCAATGTTGTGGTCATGCTGGCTGTCTGAGGGTCTGCATTTTCTGAATCTACTGAAAGCACTCCTCCCTGATGTACAGTTGGGAAAATATGTCCATATCTAACCAGTGATTCAAGCTATATTAAGTATTCAAGAAAGCCAGTCTTAACATTTCTGACTGTGATGTAACTGAAGTAACTTGTCTTAAATAAAAGAAATGCACAATGTCTTGGTACTTGCTGCTATTTTACTGTCTTAATTAAGTAAACTAATGAGTTTCTTTTTAAAAAAAAAAAAAAAAAACATTTTCTCTTTAAAGCTTCAATTTACTGCACAAAATATAAAGCATCTAAACTTTAATATGTATTTTATGTATGTTTACACTGTCAAACATCTGGGAAAAAAATAAAAGGTCTATGCTCGTAACTGTGTCATTTGGCTTTCTAGTCATACCAACTTTAGCAGAATCAAAATGACCTCATCATTTTTGTTCTAGGGTACCTTGGTAAAATCTTTAAGGTAAATAAAATGGTGGTAGTATGCAAGGATTTTGTCACTGAAGTAAAACCACAGCTGCCACCCCATGAATGGTTATGCCACAACATTATTTTAAAGACAAGCCATAATTGTTTTAAATCTAAATGATGTCCTGCTTCTGAGGAACTCTTGGCTACTTTACAGATTATATAATGGACAAAGCTCTTCAAAAAGCTAGAAGACACTAGGCTTTGCATTTTAATAAGAAAAGTTTAACGGTTTTGTTTTTGGATATAAGAAAAATGTTAAAAACATAATGAAAAAATTTTTAAATGTGTAAAGAAGTAGTTTTAATGCAGATTTAACACACCATTAATGGAAAATTTAAATATTTACAAAATCAAAATCCTACTACATGAAGAAGGAAATTTATCTTTTGCAAATCAGAAATCAGAATATGACTTACCTTAATTAAAAATAAGATTAGCTTAAGAATAAAAGCATTGAGTCTGACAAACTTGGGCAGTACTGAGGAAGGAAGTGAGAAAGGAGAGAGGGAAAGGTAAAAAGGCATTTGGTGCTACAACCAGGTGGTGAACCCAACAAAACAGACTGAGGACTAAGGCTGGCATGGGACAGATCTTGACACTCCAAATCAAACCACCCTGGAACTCCAATTAGAAGAAAATCACTGAGAAATGTTCTACAAATATAAAAAAAAGCCACCTATGAATTAGTGACAAACATAAGAAACATCCACAAGGCCGCAAAAGAAGTCCTGAAACAGGATAGATTAAAATGCAAGATAGCATAACTAAGATGGGAGAGATACAAATGTGGTATTTAATTTGTGAGACATATGGCAGAATCTCATTTCAAGAATTTCTAGAGGTGGGAAAAAATACAGAAAGGAATTTTTGTGCTCCTTCCTAAAAATTTTTTTAAAATTCAGATAGCCTTCTTTTCTGGTTTAGGAACATTTCTATTGAGAGAGAGAAAAGTAACAACATTCAAATGTGTTCTTTAATTATTAAGGACCAGGATTATGGAAAAATTACCATTAAGCTTCAACAAAACAGTCCTCTTCTATGATGTCTAGTACAGTGGCTCTTGAACATTTTTCTGCCCTAGCAAATCTGATTGGCTCACTGTGCCAGGGAATCTTGCCATGAAAAAACAGGATTATTTGAAAAAGTCCCCTAAATGATTTTAAAATGCATTACTTCTCTGTATGGGCAAGCTATCTCTACCTTCTCCTAAACACTTATTAGCACCTTCACCATCCATGATAGGGACTAATTGCTTAGATAATGCCTACTCTACCACATATGTGTATCTTATTTTAAAAAACATGTACACCGACTTCCACAGATAGTAGGTTTCTTAGAGGTAATTGTCTTTTCCTCTGAGGGTACCAGAAATTCAATGCTGTCTTAGAATTCCTAGAGGGAAAAGTGATAAGAATGCTCCTACTGCATTGGGAGCATTCTTATCATGTCTGTGGATTATGTCAATCCTACAGACATGTCTGCAAAATGCAGAGTCAAACTTGGTAAATTTACAAGTACAATATATGGCAATTACTCAGACTCTAAGTCCTTAGTCAGAAGTATTATCTAGTCTTAAAGGACAGTTGACCCTTGAAAAACATGGGTTTGAATGGCATAGACACACTTACACATATTTTTTTCCAAGCAAACACAGATTGAAAATACCGTATTTGTGGGATGTGAAACCTGCATACTGTATAAATAAGTTCCATATGGAAGCAGGTTCCACAGGGCCAATTTTGGGATTTGAATATGTGCAGATTTGGGTATACATAGAAGTCTGGTAACCAATCCCCGAGATATACTGAGGGACAACTATAATTAGTATTTCCTTCCAAAGAAATTGTATTCTTACTATTAATGGAAAAAGGCTCATTATCTGCCACTAAGTACCACTCTATTACTGGCTCCAGAAAAATTTCAAAATGCATTAGTTCTCAGCATCTATCTCTTAAGCTCTTCAAATATGTATGCATATGTGTACAGATACACACACCCCTATATACAAATATATCTATATTTATCTCCACTCATCCATCCCTAAGGCTTGGATCTACTTTACAGGCAACTTGCCTCTGCCACTTCTCAGGTGTATGACCATAGACAAGTTATTGTGGTCTACTGTGCTCTAGGTCACAGTTTCCTCATCAATAAAATGGTAAATGGTCTGGCAGAACTTACAGTGTTTTTTTTTTTTCCTGGAGATTAAATGACATAATTCACATAAACCCTTCAGTGTCTTGGCCCACTCACATTCTTAGATATAGTAATGTTGTTGTTGTGAGGATTATTATCACATCTGTATGTCCAAACCCAATGTTATGAGAACTTCCCATATATGGCAACATTTCAGCTCTACACACTGAGAGCAAGGGAATGCAAGGATGTGTTTGCTTTACTCTCCTCCCTGCTAGAAACCAGGTTTAGGTATCAGTGAAACAGGGACCCTGAAGAAAGTCAGAAAGACATTCACTTATCACAACAGAATGAGAAAATGGCTTCTACGGCTAACTTAAAAGATCACAAATATGTGCTATTCAATATCTTCCATAATGATACTATAAAACAACAGCAAATTCCTTCAACACCAAAAATGTCAGACAAGAGTTAACCTAAAATCTTTTACAAAATTAGTCCTTATAAAATATATTTTAAGAACTAGAAAAAAGAATGTTTTACACACTACCATCCAACATCATGCTGGTGAAAAGTAACTTAATATTTCTATTAAAATCACAATCAAAACAAGGCTGTCTACTATTGTCAATCTTTTTAACACTATTTGGGAAATTCCAAAACAAACAAACAAACAAACAAAAAAGAAATAACAGATATTGGCAACAGATAATTAGAAAATTATGGAAAAAATATACAATGTCAAGAAATAACATTCACATGAAATATGCAGGATCAAATGAGGAAAATCTGAAAAACATTAATGAGAAGTATAAACTAAGACTTGATGCAGATGACAAATTCAGGTCTCTCCATTCATTCATTCTTTGACTCAACAAATATTTAGTCAGCACCTGGAACACACCAAACACTAAGGTACAGAGGACTTTGATGGGATACTGTAAAGTTGTCATTATTTCCAGTATATTTTATAGATTGAGCCAATTCTGAAAAATATTCCAATGAGAAACTTTGTGGAACCTTAAGTTGACTCAGAAACATAAGAAAAGAATAAGCAAGAATAGAAAAAGAAATAAACAGCACAGTTATATAAGCTTTTTTAAAAATTTTTTTTTCTCTTTTTTTTAAGACAGACTCTTTCTCTGTCATCCAAGCTGGAGTGCAGTAGCGCAATCTTGGCTCACTGCATCCTCCACTTCCCAGGTTTAAGCAATTCTTCTGCCTCAGCCTCCTGAGTAGCTGGGACTACAGGTGTATACCACCACGCCCAGCTAATTTTTGTATTTTTAGTAGAGATGGGGTTTCACCATGTTGGCCAAGCTGGTCTCGAACTCCTGACCTCAGGTGATCTGCCTGCCTTGGCCTCTCAAAGTGCTGGGATTAGAGGTGTGAGCTATAGCACTTGGCCGACATTAGCCTTTCTTGAGAGAGAAACATATATCTGTCATAATAATTAGGACAGAATGACAGTGGCATAAAAATAGAAAGATAACCACAATATAGAAACAATAGCACAATTAGAGCACAAGGCACACAGAAGAACTGAATATATGACAGAGCTTTACTCACTAACTGTGTAACTTCAGCAAATTAGGTTTCTGCCTCTATTTCCTTACAGGGCTGTTGTGAGAAAAAAATGAGATAATATAGATAAAGTGTTTAGAACAGCACCTAGCACATAGTAAGTTCTCAAATACTGTTAGCTTTATAAAGGAAAACCAGAAACCAGAGGGGAAGGGAAAAACTCAATAAATGATGATGAGAACATTGGAAAAAAGTTGTTTAACACTCACTTCATGTGATACACCAAGAAAGTGAAAGAAAACATTAATGAGGAAGTCATAAAACCAGCAGCAGAATTTAAAAATATTTAGAAGTCTTCTGGTGCAGGCTATTTGTTTTAATTAGAAAAAAAAAATCACAAAGAAATCATCAATACATCGTCTATACAAAATCCCCATTATGCTGAGGCAACCAGCCTGATAAAAATATTCAAGTAAAATGCTGTAAAGGAGGTTGTTAATCAGGAGATCATAAAATTGATGAGAAAAATATCTTAAAATTTGCAATGAATAAATGGGCAAAGGACATAAAAAGAATGTTTACAAGATATACAACACTGTGATTAATACATGGGAATATGGTCAACCACATAATTAAGAAATGCAATAAAAATGTGTTATCATTTCTCACTATTAAAACAGCAAGCAATTTTTTTTAAAAAAGTAATAAAAACCAATGATAGGGAAGGTATAATGAAATGGCCACATTCACATATTGGCACAACTCTTCTACACAGCAATTTGGCGATTAAATTTAAAAAAAGGAAAATATTTTAACTTTTGTCCATAGTTAAGGTATTTAAACTTTTGCCTATAGGTAAATCACAGCATTATTTCTAACAAGAAAAACTGAAACAATGATAAGTATCCACCATTAGGAAATTAATGACAACCCACTGACCAGAATATGCGGCCAAAAAAATATTTATGAAGAGGTTTTTAAAGTGTGAAATGAGGAAAATGCAAATATTAGAAAAATAAGAAAAATAATAGGATATAAACATACATAGAACTATGTATTAAAAAGTAACAAAAAGAAACACGCTAAAATGCTAACACTGTAGACCAAGCATATTTTATTACCTGCCTTGTCCTTAAAAAATGCAAGAGATCTAAGAAAAGAACTACTGAAATGTCTAAGGCATCTAGACTGAGTAAGAAAACAAAGAGAAATAAGAAGACACAAGATGAACTGTGTACC